TTGTTATTTTGTCTTACAGTATATGTGTTTCTGTACATGTTTTTTTGGCTCTGCATGTTGTGTCAGCTTTGCTTGGGAATACTTGATATGAGTCTTGGTATGTTGAGTATCTTAGATTTGGACGCAGTGGCAGGTGGCACAGCTGTTTTGTGGCAAATGAGCAACATCCCAACATGCCTTGTGTGATCCAGTTTGACAGGTCCTTGACCATTGGTCAGGTCAACGATTCTGTGAACGTCCAGGTACCAGCCAACTCAACCTCCTCCTTCGATGTGGATGTGCAAGTGGACCGCCGTAAGCCCACACAGATGCAGACGAGACACAGTCATGGAACTGACCAGAAGAGATGGAACTGTATCGAACTGAGACACAGGCATTTGACAAGGTATGGCAGAACATTCTCAGATACTTTGGTCAGAACTGCTCCGATACTTATTCAGAGCAACTGAAGAAGCTTTGGCCAATTGTCCAAGGCTACCAAAATTTCAGTGACTTTGGCAACGAGCGCACGTGACTCTGGCCAAGAATTTGAATTGGTTGTAGCCCTGAACCAACTTCAAACCAAGCTCAGAAAAGCGGGATTCGTTCCATGCATTACAGCATTCCTCGCTTTTATCCTTGTGGGGTAGCTTGCCTAGACATTTTTTGCCCATCACACCATTCCCAAGCTATGCAACTCGGTGCCAGGAATCAGACTGCTCCAAGTGGAGGTGCGTCCAGTGCGTTTGGCCACGTACCTGATTGGGTAGAAAAAAATCGGTGGAGCTCCCTACTGAGTCCTTGTGCGTCACTTGGAGAATGCACAGTTTCATGGACCGTGAGAGTGGTTTGATGTACTTGAGATACTAATTGTTGAGCCCTGCCCCACGGAGAGAGATCACTTTGGTGTAGTGTACGGTTCACTAAGAATTGTGAGCATCCCCATCTTAGGCTTCCCCAATTTCTTTGGTGAATGTTGGTTCCTGCTTGAGAAGGCGGTTCACCCTGATGGAAGTCCTGCATCCTATTTCTTGCATCTCGATGGAAACAAAGACATGTGTTGATACAGTTTTGTTGACCTTATTCCGAGAAACCGTCCTTGTACATTCATATGCCGGGAAACCCTTGAAGTTTGAGAGCCATGTTTTAGTTACAATGAAGAAATGATGAGATGGTGCTGGTTTGATCTCCGGGACATTTCATGTCTGCAACGTGCAGCATCAGATATCACATTTTTTTTTCGGGAGAACAAGCACCCACGAGCCCACTCCAAAGTCATTAAAATGGACTCCGCCGCTACTGGCCAGGTGGCCAGTTCGTAGCCGGGATGCTCAGCGAAATTTCAACCAGGCTGGTGGTGGAACCTGCCTTAAGCAGGCAAAGAAGATCAAGGAAGGCACACATTTGAAATGGCAAGCTCAAGACTAAGTGGTGCTTTTCAACAGTAGCCCTCTTTATATAAGGGTACTAATTGAGTGTGTGAAGGGTTTTGACAAACAAACACGTAGCGGTTGTTGTTCCCCAAGCAGTTTGTTGCTCCTTCATCCTGTTTCTCTTGTCAGTTGATCCTTAGGCCTCACTTCACACCATCGATGACCCACCATGACCCCACCAGCTGGAAGGACCATGACTGAAAATCGATGAGTGGGACGGACCCATTGAACCCACCATGAGGCCTTCGGTGGATCCGGCAACCGCTTGGGCGAAAGCACGGAGATGGCGCAGGTGGTTTCGGGGTGTGTCGGGGTTGTCGGGGTGGCACCCTTCGGAGGTGAAGTCGCTCGTTCCAGTGAATTCTCCGTGCTTTCAACCGCAAGCCGCAAGCATGAATTTAATTGAATTTACCAGTCGGGACATCTGGCACATGTCGTAAACCTTGGGTCGTGGATGTTGGGGTGCTGCCGGCCCCGGCTGCCAGTGGGTGAAGCAAATCTAATTACTGCTAGTAGTCGCGGTTTGTACCAAGGAATACCAAGATGAATGACTGAAGAAATCAAGCAGGAGTGACAGTGAGAAGTGTGAGAACGCTCCACAAGTTAAAAAGGACTGTCTCCACTAAGGGCTCAACAAACCCCAGATCTTGGCAATCACAACTTGGGCAGTTCTCACACCACATGAGGGGAATTACCGCTTCCTACATCTATCCCGAACTTCGTAAATTCATGTCATAGGATGATGTGGTTCGTCGCCTCTCATCCACGTAAGCCACGACCGCTTCGCCTTCGCTTCGCCTTCTCCATCCGCCAGGCCCCGAGTTCCGCCGCCGAGTCGAACGCCTGAGAGGTGGGCCACATCCTACGCCGTGCTCGCCTCGTTTCACCGAGTCGAACGCGGCAGGATCACCGGTGACCCGGACTTCGCCGTCCGGGGTGAAAATCGTCAAAAAGTGGGAGATGCCTTGGTGGCTGATGCCTGAAGATCAATGCGATCTACAAAGGTCTAAGACTTATTGATATATCCAGATTTCCTGCTTGAACTCTAAAGCAGCTTGTTGCAATAGCAGTGTCAGATGTGGGACCATCAGCATCCATTAGCAGGCAATGGGCGCTGAAAGGGCCCCGGCTCAGCAAGGAATGGACACAGCTCGCCTTTCTTGGTCTACGTGAAACAGCACGAATTCAACGAGTGAACACATGCGTTTTCGTGACCTGTCCCTGCCATTCTGGTCCAAGGCCGGTGGGTCACGGCTGAAACGCGCATTCAGGATGCACAAAGGAATCACCACAGGACGACAAAGGAATCACCACCGGGCGGCCAGAATCACCGTGCAGCCTGGCCTTAGGAAATCACTTCCATTGTGACCAGAAGCAGATCCGGAATGGCTACCGTGGTTCCAATCTCCAAGAGCCTTTGCCGCACTTCATTGAGGTTTTGTTTGGAGGTCATTGCGCAAGATCTCAGAAGGCCCAGTCGGTCATGTCCGTATACTGTATGCTGCATTTGTCCTGGTCCCTGGTGAAACTTGGGCTCGGCTAGGCTTGTGTGTGAAGATATTGTAAAACTAACAAGTGTGTAGAGGTGCTTGGAAAGTGTTTGTTTGGCCCGATTAAAAAGCAGATGCCTCTCAGGAGCCCTCTTCCTTGTTCCACGCAGTCGTGCAGAACTCAGTGAGCTTCTGGGTTGGCCATCGGGGAATGTTGCAGGAGTGGTTTTGACTGCGACTAGGTCGTTTGCACCTGATTTGCCCCAGTTCAGTTCGACCGACTTCGTCGGCTTCGGCTCCGGTTGTGGTGGTTCTTCAGGCCATGGTCTTCCTCTTTGAGCTTCTGGACTCCAAAAAAGCCGGGCGGTGAGAGAACTGCAAACATGCGGTGTTCCCGGGGTTTGGCTCGCAGATGGATGAATTTAGGATGAGGCCAAACGTCAGGAAAGCTATTTGTATTTGCAGATCAAAGAACGTCTCTACACATCGTCATCTGCAAAAGTGCGGCTAAAACCTATACTCAAAACATCTCAAGAATATATTTCAGTACCACGCGGAAGCATGCGCTCCTATAGACAAGGATGAAGACTGCGTCCTTTCCAAGCGTCTCTTCCATATGAACCGACCAGGGCTGCCAACTTTGTGGCCTGGACAACAAAGGTGGCCCTGCCACTCGCTTTACTCTTTAAAGGCGGGCTTTGGGTGCGGTTTCGGGCCAGTGTTTAGCAACAAGTGGCCAAAAGGTTTTCTCAGGTTTTTTGCTTGATGTCCTATTTTTGTGCCGATGACATTAGATGGTGCATTGGTGCATGATGTTGCACTAGCAGATAGGTCTCCATCATGGTGGCTCAGAATGTAGTGTACTTCAAGAAAAGACATGCTTTGGATGATATTGGAGGCCATGGATAGTAGGTTGGACTCAGTCATGTTGCGTTGTCCTGTTGAAGCCAACAAACCATGCATGGCTGGGAGGTCTTCAGCGTCGTGCTACCATGCGCCATTGTCGAAGCAGGACCAGCCCTGCCTATGGGAGCCTTGGTTTTGCATAGGAGGACCAGCCAGGGGTCCTTGCAGGTGCCCCTCCCCATTTTTTTGATGCACATATCATGCCAATGTACATGTTGATTCTGTATATGTACTGTACCTGTTTCGCCTGTTTTTGATTGAAGATGCTTATCATGGATTCACAAGGTGGGGCCGGCCGAAGGCAATGGGCAAGCCGAGTTCCACGGCCGGAAGACGGATTTGTTATGCTTTGCGGAACATGGTGTACTGATGTGGTCTCAGGAGCATTCCAAATCCTCGAACTCTCTATGATTTTCTGGGTGTGCCTTGGCGACAGCTAGGCCCAGCTAGGCCCAGGCTGCTTACAGTACCATCGAATCTCAGGATTCCGGACAGCAAGGGAAAGTAAAGAGAACGCCGAGCCATTGAGCTCACGAGCCATTGAATTTGAGGTATTGACGAGAGTTGCCATATGTTGCCATCCCTGATCTCTAAGGCAAACACCAATGGTCGGATCTATCAAGGATTCCCGTTCATACTGGAGTCGTTGATTAATGAACTATACCCTGCACTGTTGGAGCCGTATTACAAGCCCTCCAAGATTGTTGCAATTCAGTTGTGCGAAGGTGTTACGCCAAGTATATTAAATCGATTTAAATCGAGTAGCCCAGCCCATATGTCTCCATAGACTGCCTCGCTTGAGTAGCCCACTGGCAACATCTCTGAACGTAGCTCTGACACGTCGTCAAGATGTTGTTGGGAGGTCTCTCATTCCCAACAAGGGCAGTCCCAACATGATCCCTTGATCCACGAAGTTGATCGTAGATAATCAATCGCCATGGCAGGCTCTTTCATAGGAATGCCTCAGAGAAACCTCCAAGTCACCACCAGGTTCTGTCCCACCCTGGATTGGATTTCTCAAAGAAGCCATTCGAGACCATACAGTTTTTGGCAGGTTCGTTTGTGGGGGAAACCCAAAAAACTGTATTGTTGGTGTTGCATTGGACCGGCTATTTCTTTGCATTGCATGCCGTAAGTTTCTGCTCAGAAGGCGCACGTGTTTCCTACCACAAACTGGTATAGCGTGCGTCTCATGGCCACTTGCATAAAGAACTTCAACATCTACTGGTTTGGCGCAACCCTGCTGCTATTCTGGTTCTTCTTCATACATGCTCCACCAGTCTTGATCCAAGATCACGCAAAAGATCGGCCTTTGTTGTGCCTTCACTTATGCTGCGCTCCTGGGATGCACATGGGCTGGAATTGTCACGGCCTCCCCCTTATGGACATGACTGTATGAAACATAAACTATTTTACCATGTTGTCAGGGTGTCCTGCAAACGACAGGGGTGGATGGAAGTGTAAGTTGACCGTTTTCTTTAAGTAACAAGGACGCTACTAGGTGGAGGCGGCCATTCCTATTAGGTTGGAGGCCATTGCTACTAGTAACAAGAAGCTACTAGGGAGAAGAATACAGACTTTCCATCGGCCCGTCATGGCCCCCATCGCTGTACTTTGTGCTGCCCACATCGCGGTCCCGTGCTCCTTTCTCCCCAGTGCCTGGTATCGGCTTGTTGTCGTTCGCAGGCATTTAGCATTTCTGTGGCTTGTATTCACAACAGCTTACTGACACCATCGCTTTTTGATGGACAAGCTCAACCTTTCCATGTTTGGGTTGGTCGAGTTGGCTTGATCGCAGGCACCCGACATGTCAAGTCACTGGACAGGTCGTGGACTCGAATGGCAAATTCGGTGGAGCGCAGTGCCGTCTTTTTGCTGGAAAAAAAGGGATCGACATGATGGATATGCAATTACAATATTCGAAGAGTTGAGTAGTGATGCAGTCTTAGAGTTGCTGCATGAATCGAGAACATAGAAGAACAAGTTTCTGGGAAATGAGCGGGCAAGATCATGACATCGTGGCAAGGTGGTCCGGGCACAGGGTTTGTAAAACTCCTTTATCAACCTTTCAGCACATCGAAGGCACCCTAAACCCTAAAGGGCCGTTGCCAGACGTATCTCAAGCTTTGGTTGTGCCACCTTCGCCAGACGTATCTCAAGCTTTGGTTGTGCCACCTTCGAGTTTCATGACATGGGTGGGGGTGCTGGGTGTCAAGTCGTGGCGGGCATGGGGATAACCGAGTAACCCGAAGCCCTCTAAAACCTAGGCGGAGGCCTAAAGTTCCGAAAGCCGAATTAAGGTGCGTTTGGAGACATATTGCATGTCATGTTAAGCTGGTTGTTTTCATGCCATGTTTGAAAGTTGCTGGATCTGTGACTAAGAGCTGGAGTTGCCCAACGTACACGTTCGAGGGGGACTGGCGGGGCCACAAGAAGAGATGGAAGGAGAGAAGGACAAGCGGCTTCACCAGCCTTTGTCTCTAGGGCTTGACGATATGTCCCCGCAATGGGCTTTGGGGAAGTCTCGCGTGGCAAATGTTCATTTTCTGGCCTGGCTCTGCACCTTTTGCCAGCTTCGGCACTCGGTAAGAGGTCCCGAATGCCACCGGAGGAAATTGGTTGATCATGGAACATAGTTATTCCTTTTGACTTGAATGAACGTCATCGATGGAGGGGGTGCGATTTCTAGTCGAACTTATCCAGCAAGAGTAGCATTGTTCGTGGTAGCCACAGGTTATTTATGTATATAACTAGAACATCAGAGAGGATGCGTGCGCTGTTCACGGTCTTTGTGTTGGAGGCATCGTGAGCTTCTGTGCCGGTGGATACATCGCCTGGTTTCAGCAAGATGACTTGGGTTTTGCCACTGGTATCACCATTGGTGGGCTACTTCAGTTGAATGCAGCTCGCTTGGGCTATGGATCAATCCAAAGATGCTTGGACCGAAGATCAACCCTTCGCCTTTGTGAGACTTGGGCCCCGATTTTTAGGGCTTGGCCTATCCCTAAGTAGTCTGTCACAGTCGCCTTTTTCAGCTGGTTTGATCCACACAACCAGAGCTTCAGGATACCTGAAGGTCAAGAAACAGCTAGAGGGAGACAAGGAGAATGGCGAGTTGAAGCAGCAAAAGGATGCTGCCTTGCAGGACGGGTGGATGCAATACATGTTTTCTTAAGTGTTTTGAAAGCCACTGAGGGGCCAAGAAGGCATAGCTTGCTTGGAATTGATGTCTAGGAGCACATCGTGCAAATGTTGGTCGTTTTTGTCATGGGTTGCTTGATCCCAGCTGCCATTCGCATTATCCAAAAGTTCGATCATCAAGTGGTCGCTGCGGTTCTGATCATTGCTGGCCTTCGACTCGTGCTTGGCCGTTACGCGGCGTTTATGACTCGGAACTTGAAGCCTGGTGTCCCCTTGTTGGGCAGTTCATCTTGACGAGCCGCTATAAGAAAAGAGTCCTTGGACTCTTGGGAGGCCCAAAAATATGATCCAAGGTTCACAGCAACCCAGGAGCTCCAGCTTGGTGCCCAAAGAAGGCCCAGCTGGGTATCGTAGCTTTCGCGATCATTTGCTTTGAAAAAGCTTGTTTTTGATCTATCGCGATTAGCTTGTTGGCGTGTAATGTGCGCAAAAGAACATCTATGTCGGGAAGGGTTGAAGGCCATCACCACTTGTGTACTTGCTTGTTCCAAACGGTCCAACCTATCGAACTAGAATATTCCGAAACAGAAAGAGTGGTGCAAGATGGCATGCCTTGTGAAGAATCTCTGTCAAGAGAGGCATGGACCATTTATGACCATTTGGCATTTGAGGGCAGGAGTCATGTTCACCTAACATGCGCTGCTTTCAGCAAAGGCTTGAGCTTTGATATGCACCCGTTGGATGCTGCAAGGTCGACCATCGTGCAGACACCTCGACCATCCGAAAGGCATACCTCGCGAAGCAGCTGCTCGGCCTACAGCCCGGCGAGGCCGTTGGGGCATTACTTATGCCAAAGATCCCAAAGTTACCCTGCATCCAAACCAAGCGAAAGAAGAATGAAGCTGCCTGAAGGGGTGTGGAAGATGATTTTTGTTGATGCCAGGGGTTGTCTACCAGTTTCTATGTGCAGGTGCCTGCTATCGTCCTCAGAAGACATCCTTGCCCTCAAATTTGAATTGCTTGAACCCATATCACTTCGCGTGAGTTCGCAGAAGTGTGGCCACGGTGTTTCTTGTAACCTGCTGCTGGTCCCAATTCTCCTTATTACAGTAGGAGTAAAGGTCTACAGCTGCGTTTGCTGTCATTCGTAAGATTTCGTGGCAACCCTTTGAGCCCATGGTCACTTTTTTTTTTGCGTTGCTTCGGCCATGTGCATCCATGTGCACAAGAAACGTCTTCGGTCGGTCTCCGGTGGACGTCGGTCTTTGCAAAGGAAGATGGTGCATCCCGATGTGGCAGGTGATAACGCCCAGGAGAGGGAGCAACTGATGTTTGTCGATAGAGTGATTAACTTTATGTGTTTGCAACTGATTAGATAAGTTATAGAATGTTATAGATGTTTGCAGAAAATCATGTCTCTCAAGAAGCTTCATTTGGCATTCCCTGATTGCATTGGTTTTCGCTGTAGAAAGAGTCGTCATGTCACCACCTTACAATATGAAACACTCTCCCAGCTCGTGGATTGACGTTTCCTTGTAATGCCGTTGTTGGCAGATAAGATTCTAGAAGGTTCAAACGGTGTGCCCCCCATCCCAAGGAGGTGAGCATGTTGCTGAACAGCCACTCGGACTCTGATGCATCATGTAGCATGCGGTGTTGTATCATTATCCACAGATACGTGTTCATGTCCGATCCCGGCAACACCAATTCCTGCGGCAAAGTGTTAGACAAAATTACGGCATGGAATGCCTTAACCTGTACTTCAAGTGAGCGTTGAGCCAACCAAAGACTCAAATCTCCGACACTTCTATTCCATCGCTCGAAAAGGAGATGGCACTGGTTTGGACAAACCAAGACACCAACCCAGAACATGCTGTGACAAGTCAGCAGCTTGTGGACCACACTTGAGAAGTAGCGCATACAGTGACTTATATAATTCTTTTGGATGCAAACCAAGGCGCTTTTGATGTGCTACGAGATCCTGAGAAACGATCTGCGTATGATGCGAGCAGGGGCACCTGAATATGCAGACTTGGGATGAGACATGTATACACAGAATTGTACAGACTTGAAGGGCACGGTCAAAGAGTTCTGGAACAACACTCACAGATGTGCAAATTGACTATCGATCCCATACAATACTTGTTGACGCAAGGGCTCGGATGGGTGTTGCGAAAGAAAACTTGTTTCGAAAGCAGGTGTGGTCGGATGGTAAAGCCATGGCGTTGGCTTCACACACCTTCGCATTCCGGCTGTCGGGGTGTCCTCAGATCTGGTCTCTTCAGCGATCTGATCGTCCGAGGTTTGCACATCGACCCCCACGTGGAGGACGACGATGATGATGGACCCACGTTGAGGGCTTAGCTGCCTCGAAACGGCTGCCACTTTGTAGGCTTAGAGATCACAAGTGCGACTGACACTTCTGAATTGCGGAACTTCACATCAGAATCACCATTCAGGTATATAATTAGTTGCCAATCCATTAAAAAGGTTGGAGACGATTGGAGACTAGATCTGTCTCTTTTCAGATTCATGTTGTTTTTGCGATTTGTGCGACCTTTATGTCATGTGACCTTTGAGATGGCCTTGGACCGCAAAAGAACGACGCGGAGAGAAGGTGATCTACAAAGGACGCCCGTCCCTTGCCAAAGCTCTTGGATGTAACCATAATGAAACATGATGACACATGATGAATACGCATCATCACGGAGTAATTATTCTGCAAGAAAAAATTTGAACCCTTGTGATGAGTTCTTCAGTCGGATTCTTGTGTCCCTTCCGAGAATCAGTTGAAATCAAGGCGATCGCGTTCATTGTGGGAGAGAGTTCCAGACGAGGATCGTGGTGACAGGCGCAGTGGATCGAGAACACTTGCTTTGTTTGCTACACCTCTCGGTCAATGGCCACCGGTGTCCGGTGTCTATCCCGTTGTTTGATTTGGTTTGATTGCGTCGGCACCAAAGCACTGGAGGTGGGAGCAGCAAAAGTTCCTGTTCATTGATGAAGCTCAGCCAGCATGCCGAACACTGCTGATTGAAGAAGTCACAGGAGGTTGATGCCATCCAAGCTTGCATGTGAGAGCCACCAGAAAGAAAGGAAGGTTTCAAGGTGCAGGCATGGGCCATGAAGATGGATAAGAGTCGAAACCTATGCCGCTGGCTTAAGAGCAAGGATCTACTAGACTTTGGCTACGCAACGCCTAGCTTTCTATCGCATGGCTGTTTAACGATGTTTGAAGGCTTATGTACAGCAGAGTCCTATCATGACAAGCGTTTCGTGGTATGTTCTTTTCATGTCCAAGACTTCAAGTCGCTCCTCAGCCTCATGGTGCGAGAGGGTTAAACCCACCCATGCCAAATTCAATCCCTCACCAGCGGGCTGATTTGTTGGGAGGCAGTCCCACGAGGTTTGGCTTTGGGGTGTTGGGCACGCTCAAGATCAACACTCCCTCCAATCTACAGAGTATTTATGAGAATTGAAATAGTTGAACAAAGCAAAAAGAACCAAGTTCAGATGTCTCCCTAGACAAACCATGCCCAGGAGTTGAAATGTATCTCTTGCTGGAACTGCGTCGAGTGTGCTCCCAAAAGTATTTGTAGCCTGGTTGCACAGAAGCGGGATGAACCATGGCTGCAGCTGGTGTCCAGCAGAATATTGTAGTCACCTCAAGTAGTCCATTGCTGCCACTTATAGAGATCAGAAACTTTCCCCAACATGCCCAAGATGTCAGAAGCTTCTTCCACTTCTTCGACAGAGCTTTGGATGCAAATGGTTCCCCGAGCTGTGGACAATTTGTGTATGGAATCGTTCTTGCTTACCTCGTTTTATGACCCCAAGGTATGCAAGTAACTACTCCTTGCGACAATACAGTACTGCTCCATGCCTTGATATTCGTTGAGACCTGAATCATTCTGCGATGTTCGCTCAACGTCCGCCAAGCCAGGCATGGATGCCGACCATGTGCGAGCCCGCGTGTATGCTCAGTGGGGCAACAGCGAAGATGACTTGGAGTGGGCGGTCAAATCCTGCCCAGTGGAGACTCACAAACTTTGGCGGTCACGTTTTTGGGTTTGCTGCTTTTCATTGGCAATACCCCAAGCGCATTTGCTGCATAATTATCATGTATTAGGATTGTCCATAGTTAAACTCAACAACTCTGAGTTGTGTTTTGACACATGTTGAGACTAGGACTGCTGACTTTCAAAGAGCTTGAACCTAAGAGCGATGGCCTCCAACCTACTAGCGATGGCCTCCAACCTACTAGCGATGGCCTCCAACCTATTAGCGATGGCCTCCAACCTAGTAGCGATGGCCTCCAGCCTACTTGCGCCGAGGAGTGTATCTCTTGGGTGTCTCGCCAAGAGCTTCAAGTCTTGGAGCATGTCACTGCGGAGCACATGAACTCGATGGGTTGTGTTCGCCACAGGCCCTTCACCAAGCCGACACACTTGCAGCTCAGCCACAAATGGTGTCGTTTGGCGGAGTGAAGGGGCGGCGTAGTAGTCTTCTTTTTGGTGGCTGCAAAGAGCCGGCAGATGGGGATGACGAGGGAGCTTAAACTGACTTTGTCCCACGTGTTGCCACTTGGAAGTTCACAAAGCGGGGTCCGCCGGGTCCGACCTGGACCATCTCACCTGAGACCTCTAGATCTCAGCATACGTCCACTGGTTCATCACTCTTGGCTGGCTTTTCGCTTTGCCGTCCTTCCTTTCGCCCACATCGCGTCCATCCCGGTCCCGGTCCCCACCATGGGGATTTGCTTGATTCAAGGCCCCACTTGGCGGAGAAATGGGTGGAGCGGCGAAGGCGGTCCTGGGCTGGTCCGTGGTCGGCTGGTCCTTCGTCCGCTCGTGGTCCTGGGCTGTAAACCGATGTTTTGTTTGGGCTCGATGGATCTAAGGGAACCGTGTTGTTTTGTTTGGGCTTGTTTGTGAAACTCGTCGATGTTTGAGGGAAAGAATCCATGCTGAAAAGCAAATTCGTGATCTTTGTTGATCAAGACGAGCATGTTCCTTGTCGTCCAGAAAATGAGAG